GACTAAACTTCAAACTCTTGATTTGTTCCACAATGAACTCACAAAGATTCCTAAAGAACTGTTGAATCTTAAGATGCTCTTGAGACTGGACTTGGATAAAAATAAATTTAAACTGAAAGCATGGAAAGTCCCAAAGTTGACAAAGCAAGTTAAATATCCAGACAGAGATCCGAGCTTGAAAGAAGACTGGCGTGGAAAGGTGAGGGAGGATTATATCGACACTGGTGAGGTAAAAACTATTGAGATACTTAATGATGTCAATGATACAAGTGAAGATGACTCTGATGAGGATGATGTTGATGGCCTAAGTTATAGTGAAGCAGCTTTAGAATATGCCATGAAAAGAAGTTTGTCAATTTGGAAGTCACATGAAGGTGGGTAATTTCAGAATTGGCTTTGGATCATGTTCAATTCTCAGATCTAGAGCTTATTTGTGCAAAGTCCTGATCACTTAACCTTTTCACTCCCAAGATCTCATCAGTAATTCTCCTTGCTGTCTGCCATACAATCTTTACAAGGTTACTTTGGAGAATTTGGTATTTGATCTAGTAAATTTTGTGATAATCCCCTCAGTGATATTTTCTTATTATCATCCCTTGTCTGCTTGATATTGTAAGGAGAAATTATGTCTTTGTCACTCATGAGAGTTAAAGGGTTAACAGAACTGAAGCAATGTTTTTAATTCTAAATCGTGGGGCAGGTCTTAGCTCAAAAACCTTTCCATTTATTTTTGTTTCCTGATATCTGTATTGTTACCCTTAAATAACTTTTATTTTGCTCTTTTTGATTTGGAACATGGTAAACAAAACAATTTTGTAGGACCAGTAACTTCAGGACTTTATAACCCTTTGACTGCAAAGATTGACTAGCATCTAATTTCTCCTTCCAATATAACCCCTGAGTCAAACATTAAGGTCATGAGAATAAAGGAAATGATCAGCAACTAAAGAAGCTCTTGAATGTTCAACAAATTCTCCTTGTCAGCACCCTAGGAAATGTATAGAGAGCAGTATGGAGAATATGCATGCTGATGTTAGGGTGTAAAGGATTATGGGAAATGAGCTTCTGATGTCACCTGTAGAGCCTCTATATTCCACACATTCCTCTCCTGTATCCCTTCATCCTTCTTCTTTTGTCCAATCTGTCCCCCAGCCCCACCTCCCTCTTTACCTTTAAGGCATTTTATCCACTTATTCAATTATTTAAATTAACCTTTTTTTTTCTCTTTGCAACAGGCCCAGATGAGAGAGAAGTTCATGATAGAGAACAAACTACAAGAGGTTTAATTCCCAAGTTTCCCTCAAAATACCAACCTCAGGAGACAGAGACCATTGTTGAACTTTCTAAAACCATTTATACTGAAATTTTCGAAGATGCCGATGATTTATCTGAGAATGAGTCCAATATGAGAAGTCTAGCTCAGTTGGAAGACCATACAGACACAAAAAATGCGAGCATCAACGATCTATCAAATGGAGCTCTCTTAGAAGGACCTCAGCAAGATGGACCTCAGTCAAGAGGGTCTCTGTCAGATGGGCCATTGCCAAGTGCACTGGACACAGTTGAGGACTGGGATAAGGAGATTGAAGATTCCTTGGCTTACAATCTTGTACTGGAAACGTTTAAGCAAAGGAGTTATAACAAAGTTAATTTTCAAAACCAACTGCAAAACTTGCTTTACTCCTATCCTCCTGCATCCCAAGCCTTCACCAAGACAGCAAACTATGAATCAGCTGTTTACTCATTCCCTGCACCACATCTGTGCAGTGATCAGGTGTCTTGCTCCTTAGATGCTGGGCAGTTTGATGATGCTGATGAGGAGGTGCTTGCTAAATTGTGAGTCTTGTTTAAGATACATCTTGTTTGAAGTTTTAGCCAATATCATCAGTTATGCTCTGAACCTCAGAGGTTTAGTATCACATTTGTTGTGTTACATTTGTAAATTTTAGATGGAATGAATTAGCTATTCCTTTTTTCTTGTCCTGTGTATTTTTTGTTGTACAACTGTAAGGTAAATAAATCCCAGTTGATAGAGCAGAGTATTTCTACTAACTCATAGTTTTGTTTTTTACCGAACATTGTGGTTAAACTAGAGCAATCATGTTAATGTATTTTTCATAACGGCAGTTTAGAGAGTTTAGTTGCGAGTCTGTCGTTGAAATAATGATTAAAAAGGTGCTCTCCCAATTATCCATGTTTTTTTTTTTTCATCTCCCTTACGAGACCCCACGCAAGGACCTAAAGAACCTCTTTTTGTCTCAGTAGAGTCAATCTCGTGCCTGTTGTACACAATTTTCGGAAGCGTGTATACACGCGCGCAAGTGAGGGAAACTAACCTAAATTGTTTTTAGCAGGTAATTTAGTGTTAACAACTGAGTTGAAAACGCAAATTGACTACCGTAAAGAGTTTAAACGCTGTCGTTTCGAGCGTTGGCTTTGTTACCTCCCCTCTGATTTACATTTTCAACAAAGTTGTTAACGCTAGATTACCAGCTATACTCTCTCACCGACGCAGCACCACAGTTTCTTTAGAAACTTACCCCCTTTATAAATTGTTTTTAAACAGGCATCGGAACACAATTTGTAGCAAAAGGAAGTATCTTTTGTTTCTTTCTTTCTTGTCCATACACCAAGACTTTTAACAAGCAATTTAGGCTGCCTGTGATACACTGTGCATCCTGAATGCGCATTTTTTCACGCGAAATTTCAGTTTCGTACCCCCGTGGTCACGGGAAGGGGTGGTGTGACCTCTGAGAACGAGATGGACGTAATATGCGCTAGCGGCTTCAGCATCATAAAATACCTATATTCTTGGAATACAGAAACACACTGACGAATTGTAGTTAGTCTCCATTATACGCGGACAGAGAGCTATTCACCCATTTTTGGGAACGGGGGGAACTCATTTACTGTGGGGGGGTGGGAAATGCCCTTTAGTTTTTATTTGCGAATATAAAGCACCTTTCTAAAATGTGAAAATTTGAAATCCTGGTTGTCTGAGGTTTCTTAACTCAAAATTTACATACAAATAATTTTGCTCTCGCGTGCTATGATTTTCATTCCTTCATTTTTTTAACCACCTGGTCTTTTTGTTTGTTTTCTTTTTTCCTTTTGTTTTTGTGCCTTTTACTTTTTTGTATGGAAAGTTGATCGTGACTGACTCTTAAAATAGAAGTGACATGTGACGTCTCCTTTGAATTTTGGAAACTGTTTCCTTTTATAAATCAGGTGATAAATTTGGAAACAACGTTACTGTTGTAAAACAGTTGTCGGTTAACATTGCTTTCTTGCGTTTGTTTTTCCATGGAACGACTCGACCGTGTTGTCTTGTGGCATATTGCAAGTTTCCTCGGTCCTGCAGATATTGCGCATTTCCGAGGAACTTGTCGGAGGTTATACTCATTGCTGCCCCAGGTTACTGTGACTAAAGATCTGTGGGAAGGAAATGACTTTCATATCCTCGGTTCACGTACACAACACTGGTGTCCTGAAAAGTACTTCGACGGACCAATACTCGTGGGTAATTTGCTTAAGCTAGAATTGTCGGTTGTGTGGAAGGACCAAGGCTGGGGGAACAAAAAAGGAGAGCTGTTCGCCTATTTGATGAGACCAAGTCGTACAGGAGAACCAGTTAAGATTGCCGAACACAGAAGATTGCTTGGCATCGCAGACCATTGCCAAACGGAACCAAATACAGAGATCGGTAGAGAGTCCGCTATTGTGGCCAAGTCGAAGAAAGGGGATTTTTGCAGATTTATGAGAAACGCTGGCGGTGGAGGAGGACATGAACTGTTCGTAAATAAATTTCAGGTCAAGGCTACAATATGTGAAGTGGAGTTTTAAACTTAGTTTATTTGAAAAGTTTGATCAATTCAAAACGAGTGAACATATAACTGGTATTCATCGCTTTGAAGACAACTCGCATCAGAGGAGCGGTATTTGAACCATATTTTTTAGTGGTCAATGTGATTGTCAAAAGGTATCCAATTCAAACTGAGACTCAGAGAGGTAAAAAATCTCAGGGATTAAGAATGTTCTCTAGTCATGACCACTGTTTTCTTTCAAGATCAACTGAGTTCCTGAATTGAATAATACGACCAAGTTAGCCTTAAGCTAGCCAAACATGAATTTATAACCAAAATTAAAAAAAAACAATGAGATAAAAAGTTAAATGCGTATGTAAAAACTGAAACAAAATGGACGTTTTAACCTAGGAGCAATGATTATTATTATGAATTATCTAAAACGGGCTGCCAAACCGAAATTGATTTTCAAAAGCCCCCTCTG